CGAATATACCTTTTTTCCTATATTTTACATTCAACGTGTCAAAAATCAGTGAAAATAAATTCCTGTACAAAACCCCCAAATGTCTTTTTAGCGAAAATTAATTCCAGCTAAAATAAAGTATTTTACAGTAGCCAAGTAAAGAAATACTATCGTAGACCGTATCAATACGAGGTAGTAAATTATGATGACATCCAATGACCAAATATTATCAAGAAGCAAACCTTTGATGCCATATAGTTATATTCCATTATCAAAAATGAAGAACATATGACTGCAAGTGCATTGCAAGTTTTTTGATATTTTGCTGAGCAAAGAAGAACATTAAATAAATGACAAGAGCAAATAAAACTGGGGTCCCAGAACCTATTGAAACAGTGACTGTGATTTACATAAGAATTTAAACCCTATTTTGTTTTCTTTCTGAATTGAAAATTAAATAAAATGCATACAATGTTCATAATTTGTGTACCCCAAATTTATTCTCCAGAATTTCAAATAGTCTGTTACACAGGGAATAATTTTTAATGAAATGTCTTTTTTTTTCAGCCTTTTTGTGTAATACACAGCTCACTTCAAGCCTAATAATGCTCAAAGAAATGTTGTATTGCTACATTGTCTCGCATTTATCACACACAGTATATGCTACCTTGTCCACATACATTAACAATATTTTGATTACAATCAAACCGCGCTAAACAAACCAGCGTAATTTTTCATTTAGGTCTAGTAGCCCGGCCACTGTAGTTGCATGTAGGTCCGTGTTTTGAATAAACACCAAGTAGATCATAAATTGAGTGTTCCATGTCTCTTTCACATATTATTTGAATTCAAGGCAGCAGCATTTACCATATATCAATGGTATTAATCAGTTTGATAAAAAAAAAAATTACCTGTACTAGTAAGTATGAGACCAGTTTTTCCCAAACTATCTTAAATTATATGTCTAAAGCAAAATTGTCAACGCATCAAATAATCTTATTCTGACTAGTTGCATATTTAGACACCATTGAAGAAGAACCATTGCCAATATGATTAACTGCAATATCACTAGATTACATTTAAATATGTTAAATCGCGGACAAAATCCCTCTCGTCTGAATTAAGGGGTTATAAATCAGTAATGATACTGGTAAATATACATCTGTTCATGTAACATATACTATTTGGATTGGCAGCCATTGAGCGACATGCAACAGACCGTATTTTTGTGAAAGATTGGTATTTTTGTCGTGATTTGTAGGAATCTGAAAAACGCGTTTCACAACTTGTGTATTATTTAGTTTTATGCGTCATTGAAGATGGCGGTCCCCATATAGTAAATATCGTATTTATTTTATTATCACGTGTGCGCCAGCTGACTGTGATTGCAATATGCTTCTTCTCTTGAAATGCAAACAAGTTTACCTTGATATGGATGTCTATTGTCAAACGTCTGTTGGTTATATCAACATCTAACAATGATTCCCCAGACTTTCGATTCACTAACATGAATAAGGAGGGTAATAAATCAGTCCTAAATCAAATGGAGTTTCATAATATGGATATGTAGTCTCTGTGACAGTTTTCATTGTATGTATGTGTTAACATAAATATGCGAACCAGTTTCAATGTAAAACGAGCAACGGTAGTCGTTGCGCCACAACTAACAAATAGATTTCCATACTCTTCAGGAGTAAAACAGAGCTGTAACTTAAGCCCAACATTATTTAATCGTTTTTATTTTATAAATGCTCTCCAGAAATTTTTGCTATGAACACTTGTGACCCTCCAACCAGTCGGAGCCCATGAACTATGATCAACTGTACGCAATCCTATGAGCGGGGGGGGGGGGGTATCGGCTGGTATCTAGTTTAAGAAATAAGGGATGAAGGCTCCAGCCAGCTCATATTTTTTAAACTCGAAAAAACAGTCAACCGAAACGAAAAATAAAATCTAAAAAAAAATACCAGCTTGAAGAATATTGGTTGATGTTTAAAATTTCAAATTTGATCATAGTTCCTGTGCTCCAACACGGGGGGGGGGGTCCTCTTGTACCAAAACCACCACCCCATACCACTCCTAGCCCAGTTTAATTGCGTATGTCCCTTCTATGGACACCTATAGTTATCTAGGGGGATTATAGGC